TATTATCCGTTCTTTCTTGTTCTTTCCTTTCAAGTACTTTTAACACCGTCTAAAAACTGCTTTTTTCTTTCAATATCATCATTCGTACCACCAGAATTACCAGCCTTGGTAGATAGTAAATCAAGCCATGCTCTCTGCTTCGCTACAACTTCCATACGTCCCCATTATCTCACCATAACGTATTTTTTCCTTTCATTCGATCTCTTACTAACACCACATACTTTGGTACATCATATTATTCAGTATATATATATTCGATATATCCTACATATAGTTCGGCACTAAACATTGCTTATCATTATGCCACATATCATCTAAGTCTAACTCATTTATATTCCATTCATCCAAACCACTTACATTTTCTGTCAGTCTACATTTGTACCTACTTGTCTTTCACACCGTGGTCTTTTAACCTCTCTGTTCTTATACGCTGTAATGCAGTGGTAGACATAGACGTACGATGCTACCAACGTTTGCAAAGATCATTAATTCGGCATAAGGTCAAGTAATGATCCGTCCCTACGTTGAACCTCCGGTAAACCCTTGTATTTACCACTGCGCTCCTCATACTTTTATCGACAATTATAATATATATCATGCTTTATCATCACCTCTTTCCCATATATACATTTGTATCTTCCTATTACGAAAGAAAGTATTCGTAACAAAATCATTCTTTTCCACACACTCTGTGAGGAGGCAATATATGATATAATATGTGAGGCTTTATATTTTTGGTTATTTACATTATATTAAGACATAAATAATCGTTTTAATTTTTTTCTATCTCTCTGTTCGGGCTAATCTTCGGAATGGCTGAACCAATTGTAATTAAATTTTACGAACAGATAGAAAACAAAGTCAGGAGAGATCAAGACTAATATATCATCCGGAAATTTCAAAATATAAAAAATATCAAATTTTACCTACCGTGAGCTTGATGGAAGCCAGTTATTTCAACACTACAGACAGACACTTCAATTTGACTTTTTTGACTTTGACTTTCGACTGTAACAGTAAAAATCGTGAGGAAACTTACATTTTTGAGGAATAAAAATATTATTTCGAAGACATGCTTTTTTCATTCCTCAGAAATGAAAACTCACATTTCTGAGGAATGAAAATATTATTCTGAAGAAATGCCTTTTTCATTCATCCGAAATGTAATTTGTCTTATTTATTATATTATCTTATTCATAATATTATTATTTATGCCTCAAAACTCGTACAAAATTAGTGGAAACCTGAGTGCAGGATTAGTAACGGTAACCTGAGTGCAGAACTAGGATGTACATATGCTGATACTTTTTTAACTTTTAAAGATATGGTTATAACACAATCTATCAAAGTACATTAGATTTTTCTGGCATTTCCTATTAAGATATGGAGTGATGAATTTTATACATAGAGAAAAAGCAGCTGATGGTATTGTTATTACATTTACAATTGCGTTTTTAATATAAAACTTATTAAGTTGGGTATTGCAGCCCATCGACACTTGTAGCAAACTTCAAACAAAGAAGGCAGATTAGACTAAGATGAAATTCTTCACAGACAGGAACTATAATTGCCTTCTGTACACTTTAGATGAGAAAAGAGCAGTGAAAACACTGCTATTTAGTGGCAGAAATAGGTAAGCGGGTGATCCTACCCAGACGCACTCCTCGACAGGAGTACTTTTGCTACGTCCAAACTACGAATCAAACCCAAGATCTGGGGTGATGCAGCCAGTATCTCTGACCATTAGTTCATATTAAAGCCCATATAGAGCCCTAAATTCAATTAGAACGATTAGTTACGGTGGTAATTCTTTCGCAGGTTGCGTTGTTCAAACGTTGGACTAGGCACAAATCATTACATGTTTTGATTGTAAAGTTGACATGATTAAAAAAAATATGCAGTTTGAGACCGATACATTTTTTATTTTATCGGTAGGTATTATCAACCGTTAAAAGCCTGATATTTCATTTACATTGGACAACTCTCAGTAAAAATTATTTTATTTTGATGTTGCACATGCTCATTACAGAATTAAATTGTGAATGAACTAGCATGACTAAAACATTAAAAAATAAATTCTAGGACACGCAAACCCCATAAACACGCACTGCAGCAGCGTGGTATACTGATACCTGCAATAATGCTCTATTAGAAATAAATGGAGGCATATTCACAAGACGAAAAATAGTTTTGTTGTAAAATATAATGAAGTTGGAAAAATCTAGCAGAAATATAATTAATGTTGAACTTGGAATTCGTTTCCCCTTTTCGATAATCGATGGAACAGGAACAAGGTAATGTAGAATGTTTGCTAAGCTTTCACTCGCCATGTGTACTTAGTAAGCGCTTTCGATTATAAACATAAAATGATCTAGAACTTATTAATGATAAGTGAACAAAGGGAATCATACGTCTCACAAGTTTCAACAAATATATTTCTCACAATGCTGTTATGATGATATTAATGATAATAAGATTATTATTATTATTATTATCTAATGATATAGAACAAGTATAATAAATTATTACCATAACAGCCCATAACAATTCCACTGCTAGGCCTCATCTAATGCAGCAAACCTACTAACCTAGTCCTAGCCTCCATCTATCGACTTCGCGCAACCTTTCGAATGCTGCCTTCTACTTCGATTACCTGTACGAGGCTGACACTCGAAACGTGCTGTAATCACAGATAAACTTTTATCACCCTGATTAGTATTTTATAATATATTGAAAAAAAGTGAGTGAAAACAGTAATGGAATAGCAGTAGTAGAGAACAAAATGCGTTAAGTGTCCATAGTTCCAAACAGTGAAGATAATTTGTTTGCTATGGGAAATGTTGTGACTACCATATCTGTTTGAAGTTTGATTTATGTATAAAAAATAAGTTCACGAGCTATCATATAATATAACATAGTCAGAACTTAATTAAGTTCATTTCTGATGATAAAAAGGAAACTTAAAACTTAAAGCGAGGAAAATATTAAAGACATGTAGTTTGTACGTTACCAGAATAAAAAACTTAAGAGGTGTCAAAGGACATCCGGATGGAACGAAGTTCCTATATATATCGACTTCGTAAACACGTAAACGTATAATTCGTAAACACAACAGCGTGTAGGTTAGAACACGCACACGGCTTGCTAAATACATATGCATTGATACTGTAACATTAATATATAATTTGCTTTTAAATTTATTAAAGTTATGAAGCGTACACTTGCTAAACACACAATAATGGAGAGGTTATAATGCGTACTTGCTAAAAATAATCAATGCGAAATAGAAAGACGAAACGAAAATAACTGGCTTGCTTTCTATGAGAGAGAGAGGGAGGGAGAGACAGATAGACAGACAGAGAAACACGCGTACGCCGCACGGCTTACAACTATAACAAAAAGTGTCGTTACAACTTTTGGTCTTAATTTTTTCCGTCTAGCCCCCTTTCGCAACGCGCAATAAGGAACTTCGTTCCAATAGTTTTCAAGATATGGGGAAGATCTATATACCAGTGCTTCCTTTGATTATTTTTACTTATATTCATTTTGTTTAGTATGTAACATTATATATTTAAAAGGTAAAATTAAATCCTTTAGAGAAAAAATGTCAGGTTGTTAAAGTAAATTAAAGCAACTTGCGTAAATTTCAAATAAGCAAACTCGGGTTAGATTCTCGCCAGTACGATTTGTGAAAATGTTAATTGCAATTTTAAACACTGATTTATTGCGTGCTCTTCGGTGAAGGTAAACATCGTAAGAATCCTGCCTGAGGTACAAAATATTTAAAAGATATGTGATATCATTGAGCAATTGAGCACCTGACGACTCCGTGGCGCTGTGGCTTAGAAACGAGTGGCTACGCTGGGGGTCGCGGGTTCGAATCCCGCACGGAAAAAGTATTTGTATGGCCTACAAATAGTTGTTCCGGGTCTGGATATTTATCCTTGTGCAATTTGTGTTTGTAAACTGCCCCCAAGATACAGGAGAAAATCCTAGTGTAGGGTTAACGTTTTTACTAACAGATATAACTTACTCACAGATATAACTTGAACAACGCGGTGGACTTATTGCTTCAGGAGACTCTCAGAAATTTGAGGAAGACTAGGCCTCCTCTAATTTCTAAGACATCAATTCTAGATGAAAGGTTATGGCATTATTTCACTTTTATATTAAAGAGATATGTATATAATGCCAGTAAAGTAAACACTTGTAATATTGACGGCTAAGCACTTGCCGTAAATTTGACAGTACGCGAGCAACTCCGACAATTTATGTCAACTAGAATATAACGTAAAATATATTTTCTAATGAAAGCCGTAACATGTCAGGGGTTGTGCGCACATTAAAATATATATGTGCACATAATATATACAAGTGCACATGTTAATTCAAATTAAGTGACTACATTAGAACCAGGTTAATAAAGAAAATATCTTAAAATGTTCTATCTTAAAATATTTCTTTGTTGGTCTGAGACTGACTCTTGGAGTTCATTTCCCACACACAGCATGTGAAGAAAGTATTTGATCAGAATGGGTCAGGCATGCTCCTATTTAAACATAATAATATAGTTATTTCATGATACTTATGAAGAATACCTATAAGAATTTTAATCTTTCTTATTATTTTAATAAGAAATATTTTAATTTTAATATTTCCGAGCATAATAGAAAATAAAGTACTGTTCAGATGTACATTATGCAGGCACGTACCCCATGCAGATTCTATTTAATTTTTATTCTAAATCAAACTTAACAATTTGATTGATTAACAAATAAATTGGTTATACTTCCGAGTGTATTCATATTTATTGATTTATTATATTAGATTTATATATATATATATATATATTATATATATATATATATATATATATATATATATATATATTATATTATTATATTAGATTATATTATTAAAAACGTCATGAAGACGTCCAAAATGTGCAGGTTAGAGTGTCACAACTGCAAAATGAGCTAAAAATACAATTTCAGCAGAATATGAGAAAGGAAGTAGAAATTTTAGGAGTTCCTAAAAACTATGGTGAAAATCAGAATCATACCATACTCGTAGCAGAAATGAAAGTGGGAGTTGATCTTAAAGATAAAGATTTAGATTGGGTAACTCGTGTGGGCCCACGCCGACCACCGAAAACTGTTGCTCTACCAGAAGATAGCGGCAATATGCCGCGGCCAGTGGTCGTTAAATTTCTGCGTCAATCTAAACGGGATCAAATCCCTAAAGTTGCAAAGTTAGTAGAAAAGGTAGTAGTAAAAGAAACATAATCAGTTCTAACCTGGAGGTAGCAGGTCATACCCGGAAAGTTTATTTTAATGAAAGGCTTACCAAAGAAAACAGAGTGTTATTTCGAGACACTAGACATAGGTCCAAGCAACATGGATACACATTCTGCTGGTGTAATCAACGCTTTAATTATATCAGGCAACGTGAAGGTAAATCTGCTCAGCTTACTTAATCGCACAAGGATCTTGAACGTTTGCTTGCACCCACTTCTACAGCCCAGAGTACATAATGATAAACGTAATGATCTACATAATTATTAAAGACCAAGGATGGATGAAGTTCAGTTAAGGCCATGTATTCCTGCAAAAGTAGGCATTTAGCGCTGTCCCGGCCGCGCACGAATTATTTCTCGCGGACTCCAAGGCAGTGAACTTGCATGACCCAACCAGCAATAGTTTAGAAATAAGCAGTAGGATGACTTTTTTATTGGACTTTACAAATGCATTTTTATGATCAAAATTTTTTTTATTATAGCGATAAATTAGAGTTTTATAATAAATTGAAAATTAACAACCAGTTCGCTTTTGATAGGTATTTTGATAGGTAGGTGGTACTGTATGAGTAGAGAACTGTTTTTAAGTTTCGTGTGAACACATGCAACGCTAGGGGAGAAAGTCAAACTTACAGTGAAATTCATAGGACGCGTTTGCAAATCAACCAAAATTAGGGTGTTTTTCGGTAGATTTTGTGACAAAACTACAAGTGGAACTCCTAGACTAGTAGAACTAGGTGTGCCGAGTTTGGGTTCGTTTTGTTAGTTACAATGAGACCTCACCACCGGTCTTGATGGAGTGACCTGAAGGTGTAATTCAGTGATTACAACTGGAACTCCTAGACTAATAGAACTAGGTGTGCCGAGTTTGGGTTCGTTTTGTTAGTTATGATGAGACCTTACCACCAGACTTGATGGAGTGACCTGAAGGGATAATTCAGTAACTACTGCTGGAATTTCTGAACGAGTAGAACTAGGTGTGCCGAATTTGGGCTCCGTTTGGTTAGTTATGACGAGTCTATACCTCCGGACTTGATGGAGTGACCTGAAGGTGTAAATCGGTGATTGCAACTGGAACTCCTAGACTGGTAGAACTAGGTGTGCCGAGTTTGGGTTCGTTTTGTTAGTTACGATGAGACTTTACCACCGGTCTTGATGGAGTGACCTGAAGGTGTAATTCAGTGATTACAACTGGAACTCCTAGACTAGTAGAACTAGGTGTGACGAGTTTGGGTTCGTTTTGTTAGTTACGATAAGACCTTACCATCGGACTTGATGGAGTGACCTGAAGGTGTAGGTCGACTAGTCTAGGAGTTCCAGTTGTAACCACCTGATTACACCTTCAGGTCACCTGATTATACACACAGTCAACCGTGCGTACACTTGTGTGTGCGACTTTTGTCAATGTAGTAGTGCGATTCTATACCTATCAATTTTGTAAACGCGTCCTTAAAACCACAGGATTTATATTTATAGCACGCAATATTTAGTCTGTGACAACAATTATATGAACTCGTCAAGAACTGATTTATTGGTGCACGGAGAAAACTGACACGGGTCCGTCGTCCATAAGCGCCAGCGCGCGACTGGTCAGGCTTTTAGGAGGTATCTAAATATAGTAATTAAGAGCGGTGAATAGACTTGTACTAGAGGGGGTGAAGCAGCGCGCGACTGGTCAGGCTTGCCGAGCCGCCGCGCTCGCGCTTTTAGGAGGTATCTAAATATAGTAATTAAGACGCGGTGAATAGACAATTTTTATGTACTAGAGGGGGTGAAGCAGATGAGTGGGGGACGAGTAGTCTCCACAGATTACCTCCTAATAGATACCGCATCATGGAATATTTGTTCTGTTTCGATTTCACCAGATTTCGCGGCACGCATAAGTTGCGGGGGACATGTCAAATGCGCTGTGATTGGATAATTCAAGATTGAACCTTGAATGCTCCGAACCATAGTGATGGGACAGGGTTGGGACGTTGATCGATAATTTTGGGATTTATTAATTATTAATAAATAAATAAATTGATCAACTTGTATTTGAAATTTATTAAAAAACTATTGTAAATAAAATACTATTATATATATATATATATATATATATATATATATATATATATATATATATATATATGTGTGTACATGTAATCTAATGATTTCTTAAATTTACGCGAACACTACACATTAAATAAAACAATATATTCGGATTTTATCGTGTTTAATTAACTTATGGTCACGGGAAGGGGGGCTACTGAGATGATTGACATCTCAATGTCACTGTTAGCCTGGCTACCTTCAGTTTTTAAATATTGAATTTTGGTCCAAGCTACATAGAGCGAGCTTACAGTGTCTTAAAGTCTTGCAGTGGTATGCTGGGGTTTGGGTAGATTTTGTTAATTATACGATCCTAAGCAGATGGCAGCATCCATCCATCGACTGTGGCCGGTGTGACGTAGGTATGCGAGCCAAAGCTTGTTGTCTTGCAATACTTGCTTGACGTGCTGAAGCACGGTGGCCAGATGTTTTCTGTCACAGATCCCTTGTGCTCTCTGAAACAGAGATTTACCCACGGTAGCTAACTGTGAAGAATGATGGTGATATTCATCTTTTAAATATCGGCTAGTATAGGTCTTTTTCCTATACATAATATGACTAAAACATCTAGGAAAGCTAAAGAATTATTTGCCTCTAACTCCATTGTGAGTTGTATTTTAGAGTTTATGGAGTTAAGGTGGTCTGAAAATGCAGTTGCTTTGTCAGACGGTAAAATTGTGAAAGTGTCGTCTACGTACCGCCTGTAGAATCTTGGATTTACAGGAGCAGTAAGAAGGGCTTTCTCCTCAAAGTCCTCCATGCATATGTTGGCGACTATAGGAGATACAGGTAAGCCCATCACCACAGCATCAACTTGCTTGTAGAAATCTTCCTTCCACAATAGATAGCCAGATATGAAGCAGTGTTTGAGTAATACTGCATATTCTGTAGGCATGTTGTTATCTTCTAGCTTCCTAGTTACAATTGAGATGCAGTCTTCAATAGGTAGGCATGTGAATAGTGACTGAACACCAAAAGTGACCATAGTTTCATTGTCAGCGAGATGTGGGTCTTTTATTTCACTAACAAAATGGTGTGAATCCTTTGCGTGTGCTCTGGTGTGTCCTCTCGGTGGTGACAGTATTTCTGCCAAGTGTTGTACCTAAAAGTAGTATTATTAATTATTAAACCATACGGTACGTGTTTCAAATTTAGATGTACTTAATAGTAATAATAATAAGATATTATTGAAGTTTATGTAATACTAGAATAACAATAATAACCTTATAACTTTCACTTGTTTAATAATTTATAAATCCGTTAAAAATAGTTAAATTTCGACGTGTAACATTCGCTTAAATATTAGAATATCACGTTTTAATCAACCATTTAATGCTATTACCTATTGTGTAAACTACATTGTTACTATACTTCTATACTTGTAGTCTATACTAAAACTGGCAAGTATAACGGAACCCAACAGCCATTTACGGTTTTTCTTAATATGAAGATTGTCTTCTGTGAAGTGTCTTGAGCATAGTACACTATTTTTGGTGGGAAACCATTGGTCCCCTCGACAAGTAGCATCGATTCATATTTTTATCCTTTCAGGGCATTTAGGAAACCTGTAACATATAAGTACCACAGTGACACACCACTATTATTATAAAATAATGACCTTAAAAATGTAAATGATGACCAAACAAACATCTACTTATAAATCACAACACTATCAATACCCGTACTGTCGTTAGACAAAGATAACTACTATAAATTATGTAATGAATGAAAGGGACATTTCAAAAAGACATCAACGAGTGCTTAATTGTTGTCACTTTGCACCATTGCATTACCAGTATAAATTGAACTCCGGTGCATTCGAAATAGGTTAACGTGATAAGAATAGAATTTACTTACCGATGAAATGCGGTGCTATCTTTTTGATAACTGGATGTCTTGGATAACTTGCCACACTAGTTTAGTGCACAGGAAACCATTTGTAATGTATTTTGGTTACAAAAGTATTTTTAAATTGTCAAAAACTCGGACGGGCCTACGGGTCACAAACTTGGTCGACACTGATATCGTGATTCTTAGCGTTACTTCGTATGCTAGCTACAGCAAGCATGTGATTAGGGGGTAATCTATAATAGTCTCGCTCACTGTGGGGTGCATACCACACGAATTTCGGCGATGTGCGACGTCCATTACATATAAATGCGTAATTTCGCACCTTTGTGCAATGTACGTTTGGCCCAAGGCGCAGTTCAACGGTTGCGTGGTACTCCGGTGGCTTACGGTTCGTATCCCGTCGCACGCTTATATTTATGTATTCGTATTTTTAAAATGTTCTTATTAATAAAATATCTCTATATATTTATTTTCTTATTTTGAAAATATTATGTACCAATATATTTTCGTATTTTTATTTTAAAAATAAGTAAATATTTTTTTTTCTTAATTTAAAAATAAATATTCAATTTTCTACAAAAATTACCGAGAAATTATGTAACAGATTCTTTAGACGAACAAATAAAATGGCAGGTGCAGAATGGTCAATTCTAAAAATGGTCTATTCTCGAAACGACTAATTGTCAAAAAATTTTGAATTTATAAAAACATATATTTTTTACTGTAGATATAATATACTTCTTCAGAATCAAGATAAAAATAATACAAATAAAATAAAAATATCCACCGAGCTTGATGGTTGATTATGGAGAAAAATATTTATATACAGTATGTTACAAAAGAGTGTAGTAATACCAAAGGCAGACATTGTAAACATCGTTATGAAAAACTTTTATTATGGTGTCAGCCCTAAAATCGAATGGAATGATTTTTTATTCAATATTGATCACATGTATTTGTTATTGAAAGTCATTTTTACGAAGTTGAAGGAGCAGATGATTTTGCTGAAAATCATACGAACATGTTGGTTCCAATAGTCTCTCTTGA